TCTATTTCACTAGACCACTCCACAACCGCGCGGCACGGGAGATTCTTTGAGCAGCCAGAGAAGCCGCCCCAGGCCGCCATTTCCGAGCTTGTGCATGCTACAGTAACCATCTCCCACGGAAGTGAAAAAGTTAATGAGCTAGATCAGCCGCCTCTATTCAACATCGAATCACCCTCAGCATTTTAAACATAGCCGTCCCCTATTCTGACTTTGAACCGCTCCAAGAATCATTGAATGAAGCCAGAGAAAACCTACAAACTGAAGACTTAACCTGAAGAGAGAATCAAGGAAACACCTCATCACGGATGCTCTGAACATCATCAACGTAGAGAACCTCACCAATGGCAGAGTACCACCCACCGCCGTGGAGAGAACCCACCTTGAAACTCCGCAACCGGACGGCCCACCACCTAGACACCAAGGGCAGAACACATCCGTAGCATATAGGGACCAATATATACCCTCACTATTTGGTTATCAGGATGCAGGAAACAATGACAAAGGCTACATCCCGCAAGTCCTGGAAAGAGAAACTAAAGCTATACCTTGATAGTTTATCACGCTCAAGACGCCACGACGATCAATTTCTTGAGAATCCGCAGCTGTCCACCGGTAGGATGACGGAAGAAGATAAGACCATTTCATCGAGCCTAACTGTCGAAGGAGGAGCCAAGAAAGCAACTCGCCAAGAACATTGCCATGAGACAAATCCAATTGGGAAAGGACCAAGAGATCGAGGTACCAGCAGCGAGAGATGTCGTCCAAGCCACCGGAGGTCTCAAAGAGTCGCAGTTCCAAAAAGAGAACCGCAAAAGCTTACTGGTGGGGACAGAGGAGACACTCGACAGAGGATAAAGCCAACCGCAAGCAGAAACCACCGTCGGAGATGAAACCCAACCGCCAGAAAGAAGGTGAGTCACGGCGGATCTATCATATCAAAATCTAGATAGGATCGAGACCGAGGAAGATGGAGAAGCCAAGACACAGCGAGCGGACGCCTCTCCACTGCTGATTAAGACCTCACCGTCAACAGAAACTCGAAGGAGGAGATGAATCTACAAGTAGATCGACACCAGAAAAACAAGCGTGAGGCAGGTTAAGGGTATCAGCTGAAGACCGTCGGAGGTCAAACGCCGTCAACAAGCGATGAGCCACCTCCGGATCTAAACCCTACCACCATGGCGCGGCCGCCACGCTCAATGCATCTCCACCACTCGCCGCATGAACCATGGCAAACCAAACAGATCGGAGAGATTCAACCGCCGGAAATCAACATAAAGTAAAAGGGTGATGGCCTTCTCACGGTACTGGTCGAGCCGGCTACCGGAGAGGCGAGACGATGAGATACGGCAGAGAGAGTTTCGGCTTTTGTTGGGAGAGAAGTCGTCACGCTATATT